CTATTATTACTACTATTATTATTACTATTATTAATATTAATATTATTATTACTATTATTATTTTCATTATTATTATTATCAATAATATTTTCATCATCATCATCATCAATATGTTTGAACAAAATAGAAATTTTATCATGCAACTTTTGTAATTTAATTTTAAAATACCAATGTTCCAAATAGAAATAGACTAGCATCCAGGTGCTGATGGCAAAATTATAGTAGAATACATTTAGTTGATAGATTGTATTGGGTAGACCATAAACAATGGACGTACTCATGGATCTGGTTGAACTATAGTAGATAATTATGGGCATCAGTCCAGCTAATGGGGTCAGTCTAGTGGTTATCCATTGTGCCCATCGAAACAGTTTCCGGGCTAATCGGGTAAATTTATCGACCATTACTGGATCATCGAGTCCTAGACTCAGGGGTGTACGCCAACCGGACAGCATATCAAATACAGGCATAAATGGTATACATGTACTACCGGTGCCGACATAATAATAGTTGTAAATGAATATCAATTGAATGATTATGTTTTTAATAGTCCATATACAAGCAGCTAGCTTATATTGTAGGCCAGCCTGAGGTATGTCCAACATTTCGGAAAAGTCACCCAATAGGACAGTTAGATGGTAATCATTGTTTGAATCGCCAGTATTTAGCAATAATAATATAATATGTATTATCAGATATGACCATTGGATTAGCGATACATTTATGGGATGTCTGGTCCAGTGTCGGTGTCGGTGATGACCACCTATAGGTATAGTTGTTTGTGTTGTCGATATTAGTGGTATAATTGGTTTTTTCAGTGATAGCCCAATTAGGTATAGTTGACTGCACGCGCGTTCAACACGTTTATCCAGTGGTAAATATTTGTTGCAAACAATAATTGACATTTTTTTGTTGATTAAAAAACAAATTAAAGTTTGTTTAACTATTTTTTTAAAAAAAAACAATATTTTTTTAAGTAATATTTAATTTAAAAACAATATTTTTTTAGTAATATTTAATTTAAAAACAATATTTTTTTAGTAATATTTAATTTAAAAACAATATATTTTTTTAGTAATATTTTATTTAAAAACATTATTTTTAAGTAATTTTTTTTAGTTAAAGAGATTATATATTTATATCTCAAATATTATGAGTTGTTTTTTTTGAATCAATTATTTATATACTAACTATTTATTGTTGTATATMTATATATATATATAAATTTTATTGATTTTTTTGATGTTGAATTAACTATTATTATTAATATTTAAACATTAAGCTATAATAATGTATTTATATCAGTAAATATTTTTTTACAAAAATAAATAAATAAAGTTTTCTAGTTTATAAATAATATGAATTGTTTTATATATTATTTTTAATATTTTTATTTCTACATATAGTATCATAATTAATGATAATAACTTAATATTATTATGATTTTCATTATTATTATTATTATGTCTAATGATTATAATAAATATTTTTAATTTCAAATATTTTCAAATATTGTTTACGCATTTTTTCTAAATAAATATTATTACAGATTTTTAAAAAAAATAATAATATTATTATTTTGCGTTATAACAATCATTAACTAAAAATAAATAAATATTTATTCATACAAAAATATTCATTAAGATTACAAAAAAATATGTTTTATTTATAAATAATTATTATTGTACTTTTTTTATTAAAATTTACAATAAAAATAATAATATTTAAATAATATTACAATAAATATTAAAAAAAAAATTACATTAATAATATAATAACAATTGTAATGAATATAAAAATAATAATAAAAAAAACTTTATAGTAATTTTGATTTTTAATTTATTAAGTTTTTTCTTTTTAAAAAAAATGTTCAAGATATTATAATTTAAATATTTTAATACAATTTTTTTTAGTAAATTTAGTAATTAAATCATTAAAACTTAACTATGAAACATAAGTACTATTTTATAAATTAATTTTTTTAAAATTATTATTATTATTGAAATATGTTTTAATTTATTAAAAATATAATATAAAACTAAATATAATAATAATATAAATTATTGAAATGTCTGGACACACATCATATAGTTATTACAAGCAGTCAATACAAACATTGCAATCTCATAGGTATTTAATGGATATAAATCATAGCAATAGAAACCGATTTGAGGTCCCGACGCCAGCTTCTCTATGTAAACCATTAGCCGTAGTCTATCGCTAATCGATAGCTGAGCTGAATATCGGGTCAAATAGGAATACATTAGCGATAAGGATCGGTGGGCTAAACGAGGTATTAGTATGAATACATAGGAAACAGCCGTTAGTAATACATAAGCCATTAGCAGCCATAGGGCTGTTAGGTATCGGATTTTTAGTTCAACAAAATACTGGTGACCCGAGTCGGCCATGTATTGTAGGAATACAAAAATCGAGCATGATGAATAAAATGATATACAAACCAGTGGACAGATATACTGATTGATGGCTGAACAAAATTTGGTAACATACTGGTGCTCGCCTATAGCATATTGTATTAGTCGATGATTAGGACTGTTAGTATAGTAGGAGGCTCGATTAAATTTCAAATTAATTTCCTTAAATTTTAATACCAAATATACTATGATTGTAACAAATAGTAGAAATACATAGACTACATAAGCCAGTGCATGTATAATCAATAAGATTGTTGTCAATGTCCAATAGATATAAATCGGCCATGGTGTCTGGATGATAGCAGTACTATTCAATTGATAAGCTAATGTAATACCTATATAAAACATACTACCCCATAGTATATTGAATAGTAATATTGGCTTCAATAGATACCAGGTTAAAAATCTTATTAATATCAGAAACCATTTACGATTAGATTGATTCAATGGATATCTGATTAGATTGTATTTCAAACGATACATATATGTCCAAAATAGACGGGTAGTTGTTTGTTGACTACAATCCAGTCCTAGATATAGATATACGGTTACTATTGCAGCCATCAGTGACATTGTACCGGCTATTGATATAATTTTCAATTGTTGTACGGGGCCGGTCCAACCTACCTAAATAATTCAAATATTATAATTTTTTTTAATTATAATAATACTCTGCTATCTATTATAAAATATACGATATATTCTCACTCACTATCTCTCTCTCTCTCTCTCTCTCTCTCTCTCTCTCTCTCTCTCTCTCTCTCTCACTTACTCACTCACTCACTCTCTAACTCTCTCTAACTCTCTCTAACTCTCTCTAACTCTCTCTAACTCTCTCTAACTCTCTCTAACTCTCTCTAACTCTCTCTAACTCTCTCTAACTCTCTCTCTCTCTCTCTCTCTCTAACTCTCTCTAACTCTCTCTAACTCTCTCTAACTCTCTCTAACTCTCTCTAACTCTCTCTCTAACTCTCTCTCTCTCTAACTCTCTCTCTCTAACTCTCTCTAACTCTCTCTCTCTCTCTCTCTCTCTCTCTCTCTCTCTCTCTCTCTCTCTCTCTCTCACTATATATATATTTACTATATATTAGTATTATTTAGAAATATATAATTACTGTATAATATACTGTATTACAATTAAATTAAAATAATAAAACTAATATATATTATATTCTATTAAAATTAAATATATTTATATATCTGAATCTGATATTAATTTTATTTTTGAAAAAATATAAATAATATTTATTCAAAAATTATTCTAAAATTTTTATATTAAATATTTTTTCAAAAAATAATTTTTTTTTTTTAAAACCTACCAGTGCCAATAGTACCGGATTATCGACAAACCGATTCAATGCTATCCCGCGAACAAATGCATTAACAAATGTCAGATTCCATATGATACACATTAGTAGTCGGGACGGTCTAACTGGACTACCCCTGAACTGGTCATCAATACTATTGAATGGTATCAAATAGTTTTGACTGGAAAACTGTTCAAATTGTTCAAACGTTTTGCAAACATTTTGATAGTCTGGACCAACAATAAATAGTATAATTATTTTGATAATATCCCTGATTAACTGGCTAATTAATGATAATAGTTTACTAATTAGCTGGATAAATTTTCTAAATTTATTCAATACAGTTTTAATAATAATTATAATCATTATTATTAATTTTATAAATATAGTACTGTATATTTATTAATTACTTTATTATTACAAACTAAATTTAAATTTAAATTTAAATATATATATATATATATATGAAATTCTAAATCATCATAAATAATCAAGATTGTTTTTCTTAAGCATAAATAAAAAATTATATTATTTTTAATAAAATTTTATATCGGAAAATGATATTTTGTGTTTTTTTTCTAAAAAATAAATTTATTTATTATATTAATATAAACCAATATAAATTGAAAATAATTTTATTAAATTTAGGATAATTACAAAATCAATATTAGTTAATTATTTTATTATATGACTAAAATTTGCTAATTTGGCTAAAAAATTATTACATAGAGCTATCCTCCCCCTCCCCCACCCTAAGCTCGTGTCTATTAGCAATACTATTTATTAGTAAAATGGGTCAGTTGGCATACACATACACATATACATACACATACACATACACATACACATATACATACACATACACATACACATACACATACACATACACATACACATACACATACACATACACATACACATACACATACACATACACATACACATACACATACACATACATATACATACACATACACATACACATACACATACACATACACATACACATACACATACACATACACATACACATACACATACACATACACATACACATACACATACACATACACATACACATACACATACACATACACATACACATACACATACACATACACATACACATACACATACACATACACATACACATACACATACACATACACATACACATACACATACACAGTAGAAATTTTAATAATAATATATTATTTTAATAAAATAAAAACAATATTATAAATGCTTTTTTATTCTAATTAAAATTTAATTAAATTGTTTGAAAAAAAATTCAATAATAATTATTATTTTATTTTTAGCTAAAAAATAAAGACAGAAAATTTTGATTAAAACAAATTATTTTTGTTTAGTTTTTCAATTTTTACCACTCATTGATGTTTTTTAACCTCCCGTTTCTCAACACTAACCATAACTTTTTTAGGTGCCATTAGAAGCAAATTTTCATAAAATTCCATTGGTTTCTAAAATAAAAAAATAAATGTAAAAACAAAACAAAAAAATCAATAATAATAATAATACAAAAATAAATTAGTAAAATTATTTTATATACTATACAATCTATCAAAATATACTGAATTGAGTATTTATTTAACATATATATATATATATACTATATACAGTATATATATATATATTTGTATATATATATTATATATATTTGTATATATATTATATAAATACTGTATATATATTATATATATACTGTATATATATATATATTATATATATATACTGTATATATATATATATTTGCATATATATACAGTATATATATAATATATATATACAGTATATATATAATATATATACAAATATATATATTAGTATATATATCTGTATATATACAGTATATATATAATATATATTTATTTATATACTCTACCCCAGTGTCGATGAACCGGTACTTATGTACGGCATTGGCCAGCGATAGTTTGCTTATCAAATCGACCAATCGTTTGCCCAAACAGTTTCGCGGTCCGATACCAAACGGCAAATAGACGTACGGATTGTGCGGCTGCTGTATATCGTTATCATCCAGAAACCTGTCGGGTATAAACTGGTCGGCTCGGGGAAAGTTATCATCATCTCGATGTATAGCATAGATAGGTATATGAATTTGTTGACCGGTTTTTATTTGGATACCAGTGCTCAACGTATAGTCAGTGTTGGCTTCTCGTTCGATAAACGGTGAGTTCGGATACAATCTAATCGATTCTTTGATAACTGCGTCCAAGTATTTTAGCGAACGTAATATATCGTAGTCGACGTCTTTCTGTAGAGTTGAGATGGGAGGGTAGGGTAGGGTAGGGTAGGGTAGGGTAGGGTAGGGTAGGGTAGGGTAGGGTAGGGTAAGGTAGGGTAGGGTAGGGTAGGGTAGGGTAGGGTAGAGATCAATAGGAAACGATTCAGTGTTTTTTAGTTTTTATAGTTTACCTGTTTTTTAGTACTCTATCTCTATCTCTATCTCTATCTCTATCTCTATCTCTATCTCTATCTCTATCTCTATCTCTATCTCTATCTCTATCTCTATCTCTATCTCTATCTCTATCTCTATCTCTATCTCTATCTCTATCTCTATCTCTATCTCTATCTCTATCTCTATCTCTATCTCTATCTATCTCTATCTCTATCTCTATCTCTATCTCTATCTCTATCTCTATCTCTATCTCTATCTCTATCTCTATCTCTATCTCTATCTCTATCTCTATCTCTATCTCTATCTCTATCTCTATCTCTATCTCTATCTCTATCTCTATCTCTATCTCTATCTCTATCTCTATCTCTATCTCTATCTCTATCTCTATCTCTATCTCTATCTCTATCTCTATATCTCTATCTGTGTGCTTATGTAGCCTATTATATACGGTATATAAATATACAGTATATTAATACCTGACTGTTATGTATGAAATAGTCATCGACTTCTTCAAACAATTTTTCCTGAACTACGGGATTCTTGGCCAACAAATACGATACTATCGATAGTGTTGAGGCAGTTGTCTCGTAACCGGCAATAAACAAAAATACCGATTGAGATATTAGTTCATCAATTGATATACCTATCGATTGTTTTTTTTTGTAATTTTAGTATTAAATTATTTATAAAAAATTTTTTTTTATTAATTAAAAACTTTATTACTTTTGTTAGACGTGTTCATCGATTTCGTCGACGACGACAACGACGACGAAAACAACTCTTCATATTCTTCCTGATTATTGACTGAGCCATCAGTAATGTCTTCGTCTTCTTCATCGGTAATAACATCTACTTTATCGTCGGTCGTTGTTTCGGTTGATGACATCGAGTCTAACATTAACTGCAAAAAGTAGATCCGTTTTTGTTGATTACCATTGACTCCAGTCTTCAGTTGTTGTTGTTGTTGTCGGCGATAGTCATCAATCAGTTTAAGTGTAAAGTCTTGGAAAAATTTGGTAACATTTCGGTCGAAAATTTCCAGTTTCAACCATTTGACCAGCGATTCCGGTAGAAATAGGATATAATATCGTAGACTAAGATCACGGGCGAAAAATGTCCGTATATTTCGTATGATAGGGTTGTCCTCATCGATCATTACGTCAACTTTGACACCGAAGGCAACCTGAATGATGACTTCCATACTGTAGGCGCCAAACAATTGTTTGATATCAGTCTCAAGTAAGGGTAGTTGTGATGACCCGTCGGCAGTGGCGGCGTCGGCGGCCACTCTCTCGAGATTCTTGTCCATTGTTTGCAGACATTCCTTAATCAATGGTATCATTAGTTTTAGTTTACTGTTGGTAAATGTCGGCGATATTATCGATCGGACTCTCTTCCAGTTGTGTCCCATAAGATTGTCGAGCATATTGTCCATCACTGGATCAGTATTGTTGGTAAATGACTAGTAATAGTAATAGTAATAGTAATAGTAATAGTAATAGTAATAGTAATAGTAATAGTAATAGTAATAGTAATAGTAATAGTAATAGTAATAGTAATAGTAATAGTAATAGTAATAGTAATAGTAATAGTAATAGTAATAGTAATAGTAATAGTAATAGTAATAGTAATAGTAATAGTAATAGTAATAGTAATAGTAATAGTAATAGTAATAGTAATAGTAATAGTAATAGTAATAGTAATAGTAATAGTAATAGTAATAGTAATAGTAATAGTAATAGTAATAGTAATAGTAATAGTAATAGTAATAGTAATAGTAATAGTAATAGTAATAGTAATAGTAATAGTAATAGTAATAGTAATAGTAATAGTAATAGTAATAGTAATAGTAATAGTAATAGTAATAGTAATAGTAATAGTAATACCCTTTTGTTTACAAAACAATGAAAATCTTTGATCAAAACGTCGCGAATCACTACCGGATCCGACACATAGAGTACCGGAACTGTTAGCTCATAGACACCGAAACATTTGCCGTACCGACGGTACAAATCCTGTTCCCAATTGTGCGCCATTTTTGTTAACCGAGTCCATAGCCCAACCGATACTGTTTGGACGCCTTGTGTCTCCCAATAATTACATTTTGACAGATAATATCTTTTAAAAAATTATGAAATAAATAATTATAATTTAATTAATTTATATTAAATACTAGCTTTTAATTAACAATAATTAATAACTATAATAATAATAATAGTTTATTTATACAAAAATCACTAAAAAACATTTATAATTTAATTTAAATTACTTTTAAATAATAATAATAATTAGTCAATTATTTTAATTTATAATTAATTAATTTAAAATATAAAAAAATATAATTATAAAATTATTATACTTTTGAATAAATACAATAACTTTATACATATTTTCAATTTTATTAACTTAATAAATAAATTAACATAAATATATATATATATATATATATTGTATATAAAGTTATTTTTATATATTTAATATTTACAGTAGTATATAGTATTTAAAACAAATAAACAAAAAAATAATAAATAAATTTAGATTTAAATTTAAATTATTTTTTATAATTACCTATAAATTGCGTAAAAACTTAATAAAATAACTAATAAAATACTAGTCCATTGAATTAATAGATTTGATTCAAATAAATATAACATATTGTGGTTTTAGTTATTTATTATAGAAAAATGATTATTTAATAAAAAAAAAATTATGTTATATTAATAATCTAATTTTTAATATATATATATATATATATATATATATATTAAAGTTAATAATATTATATTACTATGATTTTGGAAATCTTTGTGTTGTTTGTGCAACTTATATATATATATATATATATATATATATATATATATATATATATATATATATATATATATATATATATATATTTATACTAAATAATACATGTACTTATTATTATTTGAATCAACTCATTGAAATTAGTTAGGTATTTGAATTCTATATGTCTGTATAGATATTTTTGTTGTTGTTGGAAGTTTTGAAGAAAGTTAAAATTTTTTGATTAAACATTAATTATGTTTCATAGTTAAATGATTTTTTAAAAAAACCCTAAATGACTATAGTAGAGTTTATTTTGTTATACCGAATCATTTGATACCCTAAATGACTAAAATTGAATTTATTTTGTCTAATACTGATACATTTGATACCCTAAATGACTCTAGTTGTTTATTTTTATAATAATTATATATTTGATACCCTACATGACTATAGTAAAGTTTATATTGTTATACTGAATGAATCTGATACCTCACATGACCTAAAATTGAGTTTATTTTGTCTGATACTGAATGAATTTGATACCCTACATGACTAATATTTAATATCTTTATGGTTAATATAATATCTTACATGACTTCTTAATTTTTTGTTATATTTAATTCCTGGATAAGGAGTTCGTTCTGGAAATGCTTTCTAACATTATTTAACTGGTTTTAATGTTAAACTAATGAGTCATTATAAATGTCTAGTAATTATATTAAATATCTATATATATATTAGTCATCAAAAAATATTTTCAGGTAAACTAAAACACAATAATATTAATAATAATATGTTTAAAGTAAGTTAAAACTTTGTAAAGTAAACAACAAATAAATATATAATTTATATATTAATTAAATATAAATGTTTATATAATTGTTTTATATCTAATTAACTCAACCAACAAAAATTACTATGAATTTAAATTTAATATTTAAAAAAATAAATATATAAAACTCTTGATAACTATAGTAACTATTTTCTAAAAATTAATTTTTATAATAATATTTAAGTAAATTATTTTAAATAAGTAACAAATTGTAAAATTTTAACAAAAAAAACAATTATAATTTTATTAAAATTTAGTAATTGATATAAACTAATTTATAAATAATTATTCTAGGACATTTATGTTTGCATGTAAATTTAAAACTATAATTATAATTAAATACATCTATAGTTATTAATTGAAAAAAACTAATTTTATTAATACTATTTTATAAATATTAATATATTAGTACTACTTATTTATTTAACAATAAAATATTTGTTATTAAACTATTAAGTTTTTTTTTAGCAAAATCATTATTTTTGGTAAATAAATTAAAACATTATTAAAATCAAATGTCAAATAAATAGCATAATTAAATAATATTAATAATATTTTATTATTATTATTATTATTATTTGAAATATTAATTAATCTTAAATAAATACAAAAATAATTCCATTACTAATAAAAAAACAAATAATAGAAAAACAAATAAAATATTTATTTTTTTTAATATAAATTGTAATAACAATAATAATATTATTTTTTCAATGTTTACACTATACAGTAGTACATTATATAACGTCATTGAAAACATAATTTTTATACTAAAATAAATCGTAAAATAAATATTAATAAAATATTAATAAAATATTAATAAAATATTAATAAAATATTAATAAAATATTAATAAAATATTAATAAAATATTAATAAAATATTAATAAAATATTAATAAAATATTAATAATAAATAAATAGTAAATTATTATAAATATTAATATTTATTAGTATGATTTTATGCCTATTTAAAAAACATATTATAAATTTATTTGAAGTTTAACTGTATAAATGCTATGTCATTGCATATTTTTTATTATTGTTATTAATTGCTATGTCATAACAATTAAATAAACAGTAAATGTTTAGCAAATTATTATTTATTGAACTAATTTCTAATCTACTATACAATGATGTTTTTGATAATCATTTTTTTTATTACTGGTTTATTAAAAATATTAATATCAATAAAATAATTATTAGTATAAAATTTTTTTTAATATATTTATTTTATAAATCATAATAGTTTGTTTTTAAAAATAAAATAAAACTATGTATACACATACATATATGCAAAATTTTAATGAAAATATTATTTTTTTAATATACTAATTTAATAAAATAAAACAAATATTATAATTTTTTGTTTTTTTATTCTAATTAAAATTTAATTAAATGTTTGCATAAATAAATCAATAATAATTATTATTATTCACATTTTTAGATATAAGATAAAGACAGAAAAATTTAATTAATTAAAGATAATTTTTGTTTTTAGTTTTTTATTTATTTATAGCACTCATTGATAATAAATTTTTGCTATTGTTGTTATTAATAAAATTCTGTACAATTATTAATTTATTAAATTTAATTTTTTTATAAGCTTATTTAGCTTTATAAAATTTCTTACATAAGTTATTACATATACCTTAAATAATTATAATTGAGTTTATTTTGTCTGATACACAAACATTTGATAACATACATAACCTAAAAATTTAAGTTTATTTAAGTTATTATTAATTAATAATTATAGTAATTATATTAGATACCAATGTAAATATTAGACATCAAATATAATAATTATTTTTGCAATTAAATATATATATATGTGGAAAGTTTATTAACAAAAACGTATTGAAATAATTTTGATTATTACAAATAGTTTTTTTTTTATAAAATTGAAATGTCATTGTAATACACAATTAAAACTAGTTTGCCTAATTATAGCTAGTGATAATTGTGTTAATATATATACTAAATTTAATTAAAAATACAATTTTTTTAATGTATTATATATTAAAAAAAAAATACTATACTTAAGAGTTATTTTTAAAATAAAAGTTGACATAACTAAACATAACTTTTTTTTTGTAAAATAATTATTAAAACAAATAGTAAAATACTAATAATTAGAATTTTTAAATAATTTATATTATTTAATCTATAATCTTCAATTAAATATCTAAAAAATATTAAATATAAATATCTACTGTATATATATAATAGTCATTTATATAATTAATATCAAACAATTATTTATTATTATGTTTTTCATTATAATAATATTTTTATATTAAAGTTAATTTTTATGTATAATCATATTAAAGTAATAAAAAAACTAAGTAATCATTTTATTTATGTTTTATTAAAATCGTGGCAATGAAAAAAATTTTTAGTAACATAAACATAATTTTAACAAAAAAAAATCATATTACATATTGAATATTTTATATTAAAAGCGTTATTAATTTTTACTCATAAATATACCTGTTGTATATATATATATATATATATATATATATATAACTATTATTAACTATACTATTAATTATTATTTAAAAATAATTGATAAAAATAAATGTAATCTTGATTATTATAATTGTTTGTTATTGTATTAACTATCAATAGAGTCTACTAATTAATATTATTTTTAATTAATATTAAATTAGAAATATCTAATTAGAAAATTAGAAAATAATTTTTAAAATTAAATATTTCTATAATCAAAATATTTTTATCATAGATTGCAATAAATTAGATTAAGTTTTATTAATTTTTATTCATATATATAATAAATAACTATTATTTAAAAATAATTGATAAAAATAAATGTAATCTTGATTATTATAATTGTTTTTGTTGTTGATGTTGTATTGAACTACAAAATTGAATCTACAAATTAACACTATTTAATCAACAAAAAAAAATTTAACTTGATTATTTTAAAAAAAAAAATTAGTAAAATATATTAATTAGAAAATTAAAATAATTAATTTATAATTAAATATTTAAATATTCAAAATATTTCTTATAGATTGCAATAAATTTGTTAAGCAATTGATTGAGTACTGTATTATCAGTAGTACTGCTGATATCCAATGATTTTTGTTTCAATAGTCGGATCTCGGTTTTGATAAACTCCTCGGTTTCGGTCTTGATATTCAACTCGCCGTACAATTGTCTGATCAGTTGGACAGCACCGGGATCCGGGAGTCCATAGTTAGCCAATAGCAATGATTTTTGTCGATTATCAGCCAACTGTATGGCCCTAACGTAAAGCCAGCTGCACTTACCCTCTGAAATATCGGTGCCATCGGTTAGCAAATCATCCAAATCATTGGTAACACCTTCCAGAATGGCCAATGCGGTCAACGTTTCGTCAATTTTGTCCAAATTAGCGTACGATGACTGACCCGATGCATACATACCTAATAACAACAATAAATAATCAATTATTTCTAATATTATTATATATGCTTTTGGTTTTGTATAACTAACCCAATAAAAATGCACCGGTAGCAAAATCACCATTTTTAGCTTTATTAATTTGTCTATAGTTATCTAAGGTATAGGTATTCAGATCAACATTGTTTGTCTGGGAACGGGTAGACTGCATGTCCAACAATTGGCCGTAAGCTGTCTTCTCGATAGACTATATATATATAGATATACAGTAGTTATTATAGATAATTAGTTTTAAAAAAAAATCTTTTATAATAAATCATATTTAATAATAAATATATTATATATATATATACTTAACCTCTTGAATGCAGTGAACAATTTGCACATAATTTTGATGATCACTAAAATATAGTTTCAAAATCTTATAAGTTGTCGACAATACTATAGTACTATCGTTTAGGGCCGACATACCCACTGTTGGCTAAAAATTATACGTAATAATCAATCAAATGACATAATAATAATAATTTTAAAAAAAACATTTACTATTCCTATGTGTACTAAAAGTATTAGACATATAATAATAATACTAATAATTATCATTATTATTATTAATGCATTTTATAATTACCAATGTATGCCAACACGGCTTTCCTAGACGTGTGTCCGAGCCGTCCATAATATCGTCCAACATATCAACGTAAATGATAACCATTGCCATAGCACAGACCAATGCATAGACACGCCTATCAATTGGCTGGTTGTTTGATCCCTGGTTGTGCTCATCACCACCACCAGCACCGCCATCACCACAACCACTCAGTACACTATACGTTGATAATAGTATTCTGGCGAAAGCATACAAATCCCGGTTCCCTAAAACATAATCAAACATTTTCTGCAATGACGGTCTCAATCGTTTGAAATCCGATCCTAAAGATTCATTCAAAACTTTGTCGATAATCTCATCAAACATTTGTTGACATTCATGTATCCATCCATCGATTAGTTCATTGTTTTCAGTCATTTTGATCTTTTATTTTGTTGTTAAAAAAATTTGTTTTTTTTATTTGCTATTAATTAGATAAATATATATTATATTAATATGTATGTATAATATGTATGTATAATATGTATGTATAATATGTATGTATAATATGTATGTATAATATGTATGTATAATATGTATGTATAATATGTATGTATAATATGTATGTATAATATGTATGTATAATATGTATGTATAATATGTATATATATATATATATATATATATATATATATATAGAGAGAGAGAGAGAGAGAGAGAGAGAGAGAGAGATTTGTAAATAATTTTTATTAACTTTAGTACATGTAGTTATAAAAAAAAAATTATTTGCTATTAATTAGATAAATATATATTATATTAATATAGATATAATATATATAGTGTTGTAGATAAATTATTTTTTTTTAATTAATTTTAGTAAAAAATATTATTATTTTTTTTTATAAATACTTACTTTTAAAGTTCAAGTTAATTGTTCAAGATAAAAAACTATTTAAAAAAATATAAGTTATTTAGTTGCTAGACATAGTTAGTTATAGTTAAACTGTATAATAATTATTATTATTATTGAAATAAATCTCTATGTGTATAACAAATACACATGAATAGAAATGATTTTCATTTTTTTTGTATGTTTTTATTATTTTTATATAAAAAAAAATTATATATTATAAATGTCATTGTAATACAGTATAATAAAAACTATTTAATGTATATTATAACTATTATAACAGTATATACAGTTTGCTATAGTTATATTAAATAATTATTAATCACTAACACTTGTATGTACATAAGTACTATAGTAATAAAACACAATTTTTTTTTAAAAAAAATTAAATCAAAAAATCAAACTAAATATCTAATAAAGTAATTATTATTATTATTATTTTTTCTTAATTAAATTATTTGTTTTTGGATAAATTGTATTTTATTTTATGTTTTATAAATATAAATCTATCTATTATTTATATATATATATTGAACTTTTAATTTTTAATTTTAAAAATAATTTTTTATTATTGAATTTATAGTTAAACTATAATAATTTATGTGTACTAAATATTATCAAAATTCATTATTTAAAAATTTTTTAAATATAAAATTAAAATATCATTGCAATACAATTAAAACTATTGATATATATATACAGTTTGTTTTTAATTTAACATTTTTTAACATTAAAAATAAATTATACTTTTTTTTATAAATTTAATGTTAATTTCTTTTTTCATTTAATATTATAAATTAAATATTTATTGATTTATTAGATAAATAAATAGTTTAATCAATAGTAAATTTGCTTAAATATAAAGTTTATTATTTATTTTATTAAAATTATTAAAAAATATAACTCAGGTATATATTAGTCATAATAAATATAATAATTATTTTGAAATCAATTGTGAAATTGTTTATTAATTAACAAATATCATTGAATTGATTTTTATTATTTTTAATATTTTTCTTTATAAAATTGAAATGTCATTGTAGTATAATAAAAAACTGTTTGACAAATTATAACTAATGATAATTGTGTTTATTATATATTATTAATATTAATATTAAATAAAATTAAAAATACAGTTTTTTTTGAATATAATATACAGTATATTTATATTTTAAATAATATATTTAAGAATTTTAATAACAAAAGCTTAAAACAAATAGATAACAAATAAAATATATTTTTTTGTTAAATTTAATTTTATAATAATTATAGAAAATATTAAATATAAATATCTACTGTGTATATATATATATATATATATATATATATATAATAGTTATTTATACAATTTAAAATTAATAATTTTTTTCAATATTTTCAATTAATAATTTTAGTTAAAAAACACATTAGATCTTATTAATTATAATTATTTAAAAATAAAATATTTTTATAAAAATTATATTTTAAGTGAAATATATATATATATATAATAAGAGAATAAATATTGAATTTGTAAAAAAAAATCATTTTAAAACAATAATTAAATTATTAAAATAATAAAACTATATAAATTTTATAATTAATAATCAATGAAAGTAATGAAAATAAATTATAATTATAAGTATGTTTAGTTAGAAAATGCTATGTTATTATAAATTATTGGCTAATATTGACTATTGTCTTAGTAATCATTTTTTTTAAAAWTCATTATTATTATACATTTATTCAAAAAAATATAATGTAATAAATATATATAAATTTTATGCTATAAAAGTTATGATTTTATGCCTATGAAAAAAACATTTAATTATTTGTCATTTAATCAATTTTGTTGTTGAAAATGTAAATTGCTATATATATATATATATATATATATATATATAAGCAAATATTAATTTTAAATTAAATAGTTATTAGTATAAAATTTTTAATCTTTTTTTTTTAAAAAAAATAATAATAAATAAAACTATGTATAAAATAAAACCCGAAGATTACGCTTCATTGGCCAACAATTCGGACGAAATTAATTTAAAATTAATTCAATTGATTACTAATGAAAAATGGTATTAATTTTTTGAAAATTTTTAATTAAAAAGTATCTTAATTTTTGATAAAAAAAAAGTTTATTAAATAATAATAATTATTATTATTATTACTAATCATATAATAATCAAACTAACAGTTCATACGATCTGATTGTTGACCTGGGCTTCGGTGACGGCAGAGTTACCCGAATGTTGTCCGAAAACATTAGTCACAAACAATTGGTGGCCATCGATGTCGTACCCGAAATGTTAGCCTACGCTGTGGCCAACAGTTCAGACGATACCTCTATTGAGTATGTCTTACAAGATATGAGTGTCCCGTGGCTTGAGTTGAGTCCACGTATCAGACAATTGGAGTCAAAAGTGGATCTACTGTTCACTAACTTAACCTTAAACTATATGTCAAATAAAAGGCAAATAATAGAAATCATTGGACGGTTGTTGTCAAGCGATGGACTGTTTTTTGCAAATATTATACTATCAGATGACTTGAATGATAAACAACTGTTGAACAGTCAGACTGAAGATCGACAACAACAACAACAACAACGACAGCAACTGTTATATCATTCAATTGATAGACAATTAAATGATTGGAAACAATGTTTAGTCGACAATGGATTTGATATTAAATTATTCAAACAATTGACTATCAATGAAATAATGACTCGCAAACACATTATAGGTTAAGTATATAATTAATATTTTTTTTTTTTGAAGTAAATCTATATTTTTATTTTGAAAAAAATTAAATTAAAATAATAACTTATTTTTTTAGTAATATATATATATTACTAAAAAAATAAGTTATTATTTTAATTTGTTTTTTTTTAAATAAAAACACAGATTTAATTCAAAAAATATTATTATAATTAATTAATTATATAATATTTTATGAATTAAATCTGTATTTTTATTTAAAAAAAAACAAATTAAAATAATAACTTATTTTTTTTAGTAATATAGTTAATTAGATTATAGGTTATAAGTATAACTAATTTTAAAATTTATATCAGTTATAAAATTATAATAATTTTTTTTGTTGGTTTAGTTATAATTTTATTTTTTTTGGTTGTATTTATTGATTTATTAATTATTTTTAATTTAAAACATTAGATATGATGCCCGATATATTTAACACCTACGCTATCTATTACAATGATCGTAAACAATTTGACACTGAGGTCAAAGTTGACGACCACTTTATGGATAAGGTATTTAATGCCTATTTTAGTTTACCAGACAAATCGGTGTCCGCGTCGGCATCGGTAACGGTGGCCAACCATCCGATGTTGTTGTCGTGGAAACAATTTTTTAAAGACAATACTATCCATGAATTGATGCATTCATTTCAATACTTGCAACTAATGGCTTATAAGAAATATAACAAATAATTTTATAATACAAATGAAAACAAATTGTCAAAAATTATTATTAAAAATATTACCCTACCTCTCATCACCCCACCCCAACCCACCCACCCCCTCCAGTAATATTATTATAGATTTTTTTTATAAATAGCTAACAAAAWTTTTTTTTTGTAGATATGTTTTTTTTATAAATTATTTTTATATATATACTGTATATATATATATAGAACTAATAATACATTTTCAATAGTATTAATTAAATTTTATTGATTAAATAAATTAAATCTTATAAAAATTTTAATTATTTAATATATATATATATATATATTAGTATTTTAATGTTTATTTTACTAAAAAATAAATAAATAGTTATTTAATATTAATCTTATATTTGAAAAAAAAAACATTTAATTAATGTTTTTTTTAAATAATTCAATTTTATTAAGATAAAACTACATTATGAATAATAATAATAATGTCAAATATGTTAATTAATTAATTGAATTATTATTAATATTATTTAATTATACTATTAATTTGATTTTTTTAATTTATATTTTTCAAATTAAATTTAAAAACTATTTTTATTTGTTTTCTATTATTATTTACTAATTAAATATTATTATTGAATTAAATTATTTTAGTATTTCATAATAAGATTAAATTACATTTCAAATAATAATAATAATAATAATTACATAAAAAATTTAGTGCATATAATAAACTTAGTTAAAATTATAAATTAAATTATAGCACATCTAGCTTGTCGACTATGTAGTATATTATACGACTGGCCCAACACATACTGTATACTTGAAGCTGTAAATATGATTACCAGGAATAGTGTTAAATATACGGCAACAATATAGCCGATTACTAAATGTTGGATAACTGGAAACTGTAGAAACAGTACAATATAGACGCCCAAACTGACTACCGATCCCAGCAATGTCCAAACAGTTAGCAAATATTTTGACCAATACGTACAATTATATTGATCAATTTCATAGCATAGCTGATCGTATTGTTTGAGCACCCGGTCCTCCTCAACGCCCATTGCTAAACGCCTACGGTTCCTTACTAGCAGTTTACTATTGATAGTACGTATTTTCAATTTCAAATATAGACATAGTATATAGAAATAGTATAGTTGCCATAAACTGATACCGAAATTATAGTAGCCAACTAGGCTAGTATGCAAACCGTTTAGTAGGCCATATCCAAGTGTATCCCACGGTGACAATAGTATAGCATAGGGTACGACTACTATTAGGCCCATTGATGGTGTCGTATGTCGGATAGCAAACCAGGTCCATCGGTATAGACGTTTAGCCTGTCGGGCCAATCGAACTACAGCCGCCCAATTGGTTAGGCCAACCGATTCGGGCGATCGCCGGCCGGTTAGTACCGAGAATATTGTCAGCAAAAATACCGGTTCATGATTATTATGACCACCATTAGCACCACTGGACGGTAGGTAGTGATAGTTATAAATGTAGATTAGATGTGTGGCCAGATTTAATAATGTCCATAATATGCTAGTTAAACGAATGTGTGGCCCGAAACCGATTAGTCGACTATAATCGCCCAGTGCTATATACAAACGGGGATAGTTATCCGGTATAAATTGAAGCAATATGTTTACCAATAAATATAGTAATAATATAGTTATATTTACTAGCGGTTGACTAATTAGTTTCCGTTTACGTTGTTGTTGTTGTTTGCGACTATCGGCTATTTGCGGCTCCGGTAGTCTAATATAGAGACCAATATTATAGAGACTATTGTTTTCATTTGGTGGCAATTGTAGGCTTTCCGGTAAAATGCGGTCACAATTGATTTGATTCATGCTATTATTATATTAGCTTTTATAGTAATTATATTAAAATATTTTTACTATTTATTGAATTTTTTATTGAAATGATAAAAATAATTTCAGGAAATATAACTTTATATATATATTTATTTTATTTTATCAAATATCAATAATACTGATTACTTTTACATTAAAATTATTATATCATATATACAATATATATATAAAATAAAAATATGAATTTATAATTTTGATATTTTAATAGTTAATTTTAGTACCTTAATGTTTATTTATTATCATTAATAATTAAGTTAATTACTTTTAAATAAATAAATATATAGATACTGTATATAATATGCTATTGTTTTAATTGTATAATACTTTTTTTTCTAAATAATTTTTAAGGTTAATAATATTTTTTTTTTGTTTTAAATTTATAATTGTTGCATAAATTATTATATATAGTATAATTTTATAGTTAGTATGCACTTGATTTAATAACATGATTTTATTATACAATTATTATTTTAAGGTTTTTTTATTATACTTAGAAAATTCAAAATTAAAACAAAAACTATGATATAATAAAAATTTTCATAATTATATAAATTTTAACAATAATTTTTTCTAATTTATCGATAGAATATATACTGTATATGTATATACTGTATATGTATATACTGTATATGTATATACTGTATATGTATATACTGTATATGTMTATACTGTATATGTMTATACTGTATATGTCTATACTGTATATGTCTATACTGTATATGTCTATACTGTATATGTCTATACTGTATATGTCTATACTGTATATGTCTATACTGTATATGTCTATACTGTATATGTCTATACTGTATATGTCTATACTGTATATGTCTATACTGTATATGTCTATACTGTATATGTCTATACTGTATATGTCTATACTGTATATGTCTATACTGTATATGTCTATACTGTATATGTCTATACTGTATATGTCTATACTGTATATGTCTATACTGTATATGTCTATACTGTATATGTCTATACTGTATATGTCTATACTGTATATGTCTATACTGTATATGTCTATACTGTATATGTCTATACTGTATATGTCTATACTGTATATGTATATACTGTATATGTATATACTGTATATGTATATACTGTATATGAATATACTGTATATGTATATACTGTATATGTACAGTATATACTGTATATGTACAGTATATACTGTATATGTATATACTGTATATGTATAAACTGTATATGTATATACAGTATATATATACTGTATATGTATATACTGTATATGTATAAACTGTATATGTATATACAGTATATATATACTGTATATGTATATACTCTTTTTTAATTGTATAATATTTTTAAAAAAAATAATTTTTAAGGTTAATAATATTTTTTTACTATAAAATTATTTATATAATAATTATAAACTACAGACAAAAATAATTTTCAAAAAATAAAAATATTATTAACCTTTAAAATTATTAAAAAAAATATTATACAATTAAAACAAGAGTATATTATATATATATCAATAGTATATTTAGTGGGAATTTAGTGGGATTTTAGTGGGAATTTATAGGGAATATATATATATTATGATTAAATTATAATTTTAACTATAATATTTTATTTATTTACAATTAAATAATCTAAATAGAAAATAATGTTTTTTTAAATAAATAATATTTTACTACAATTACTAATAAGATTTTTTTTAACTTTTAATAAACTTTAATAAATTTAGGCTGACCCAGTTTACTATTGAAATAACAAATAACTTTAATTATAATTATATCCGATATAATAAATACTGTTTAGTAATTATAAATATTGTAATATTAATTATTAAACGAATTGAATTATTTTTTAAAATAAAACAATTAGTATACTTTTATTATAAATGTACATTTTTTATTTTATTTTATTTTTTAATAATAATAATTAATAATAATAATAATTATTATTTAAAAACATTGTTAAAAATTAATCATAAAAAATTAATCTATCTAAATATAACTAAAATTTTAGTTAAAAATATATAAATTATATATATATTTTATAAGAATGCACTATATTTTTTAGAAAAAATTTTATTATGTAATTGATAAAATATTATTTTTATATATATTATAATATTAATAAATTAATTTAATATGATAGATTATTTTATGATTTAGTTGATAAATTAAACATATTAAATATTAACATAAATAAACAACAACAAAAAATATTAATTAATTTTTATTGATTACTGCAACAATTATAATAGTAGATCTCTAATATTAACTATATATATATATATATTTATACTAAAAAAAAACAAAAAATTAAAAAAAGTTTAAAAATATAAAATTTCTAAATAAACAAAACAAAATATTAATTACTAAATTTTTTTCGCATTAAAAAAAATTATTATTATTTATTAATTTATTAATTAATTAATTATTGTTTTGTATTATTATATGCCATCACTTGTAACAAATGCCACGAAAATTTCAATTTATCAATAGTATTGTCGCCGAGAAATTGTTTCCACGACATCACCGATATGTCCGCCGCCGCCGATGCCGTCGCCACCGACTTGTCTGGTAGACTAAAATAGGCGTTAAATACACGATCCCTGAACTTGTCGTTACCATTGATTTTGGTGTCAAAATGGCGCCGATCTGACCAATAGATACCGTAGCAGTCAAATACTTCTGGCATAAAATCTAAAAAAATTTTTTTAAATTATAATTGAATAAAATAATTAAAATTAAAAAGTAAGGGGTTGTACACATATTACGTTTGCATTATTTACGAAATCTATGTTCCCCACCCTCCCTCCCCTATGTTCGCAATTGTTCGCATTCATAGTTATTAACATATAATATATGATATAATATAACATTTCCATAACCGTGAATAAATATATGTTGTGAATAAAATATTTCAATTTCAAAAATTAACTATTATTTAACTAATAATAATAATAATAATAATACTAAACCTAAAATCTGTTTGCGATTATCTGCTAATTCGTTGAAATCAAATCGTTTGAATAGTTTTATTGTAAATCCTGTGTCGACTAAACATTGTTTCCAATCATCTAATTGTCGATCAATTGAATGACACAACAGTTGCTGTTCTTCTTCTTTGTCTTCTTCGTCTTCATCAGTCTGACTGTTCAACAGTTGTTTTTCATTCAGATCTTTGAATAAAATAATATTTGCAAAAAACAGTCCACCGCTTGACAACAACCGTCCAATGATT